CGGCGTTCTTGGTGTCCAACGGGATGATGAAGGACACGCTTCCCATGCACAGTACACACCACTTGCGCAATGTCAAAGTAGAGCATCGGGGGCGAGACTGCGTACGCGAACTTGCGACGTCACAGTATTTGCCACGTATTTGCCACCAGAGGCAGGGTGCGCAGACAATCTCATGATCGCAAACAGATGAGACGGGGTGAGGAACAGTGTGCCGACACAGGCGGCGTATTTACTACCATAGTGGGAGGTGGCATCAACAGTCAACTGGAGATGCGCAGAGCGGACAACAGGGACTTGGTGGCACGCAGACGCAGCTCGAGCAAATATGCAGCGGCATTGGGACCCCAGCGGCTACAGAGGTGGAAAACGGCAGCACCACAGCTTTCAGGAAGTTTTTTTGCGTCCACAGCATATTGTCAGTAGTCGCCACCTTCTTCGATTGTGGATCGGCTTGCTACTGCTTGACAGACGACAAGATACGGGCGAGCAAGGTCGATCGCACAGCGGTACCGACGGGAGCCTTACTACACGTGCGAAGATGGGCCGCTTCGAAAGAAGTGGCAAACAAGTTGCATATCATCAAAGCGCGATGACATCGAGACCATATTCTTTTGGGCATCGACATCGGACTGGAACACCAACGTTTATTTTTCGAGCTAGCACAGACAGCAGCGGGCAGACACACACGTGGACCGCAACATGCTGATGGAGTACCTGAGGAGAGGACGTATGAGAGCGGAATTCTCGAGTGCTTTCGATCTCCACCTGAAGACCACTACGCCCTAGCAGCCAGAAGAGAGGGGTTGACGATATCATCTCGGAGTGCGATCCAGGCAGGGGGTGCCGAGCCTCCGCCTGGTGGCTAAGATATTTTTTTTGGGTGGCATCCTCGCGCAGGTGGGACTTGCATCAGATCCGGCGGACTTAGGATAGTAGGAGAAGGAGCATGATGAGAGGACAGCGGCTAAAAATGCCGCTGCCAATGGACGGGGATCTGAGGGTTTAGGTGGAGAGGGGCAAGAGGGACATGCTGAAGTACTGCAGAACAGAGGCAACAAGGGGAGCTTCCCCCCATGGGGGGTGCCAGCGGAGCTTATTTGGATGATGCTGAACCCCGCGGCCATACTGAGTGACCCTGAGCAGCTGAGCAATAAACTGGAGGAGCAGAAGATACGAGCGATGGAGCTAAGCGAGGACGAGGAGGACTTGGACAAGTACAGCTCACTCCACAAGAACAGGTATGGAAGGGCGACTCTGCAGACGATGGGACGGAAAACAGGAAATGCGCTGGACAGGTCGGGGAGAGCCGATCATGACGAAGCGATGAGGGCGAATGAAAAATGCGCACTGCTCGGAAGATACGAGAAAGCTCGACTTGGGCCGACAGCGATGGAGGCAGACGAGAGCATGGAGCGCAGGAACAATCTGGAGGACACCCTCATCAAGCGCCGCCAACCCCCAGCCACGCCACTGGACTGGCGCAGATCGATATTATTCTCTGCAATGACAAACAGGGGATTGGAGGGAAAAGAGTCGCGCACGTTCATTGTCCAATGGGAATGGCTTTCCGCAGGGGGATGCATCACAGGGGGAAAGCTCCCAAACTCCCGCGCTTGGCACGCAGAGGGCAACGAAGCTGGTCGAGAGAGAGAGAGAGAGAGAGAGAGAGAGAGAGAGAGAGAGAGAGAGAGAGAGAGAGAGAGAGAGAGAAAGAGAGAGAGCGCTACTGCATGCGTCGGGGCCACGCAATGGAGAGCGAGAGAAGCCAGGGTAAGTGCCCTCGCCAGTAATTTTGATTACACCAACAAGTTTGCGAGTGCGAAACGAAAACTCCCGCTGGCATCGGTTTTCGCCGCGTTGCAGTATGGGGGCTTGTTTTTCGCTGTCGAGGCGATCAACTACGCGCCAATGACCATGGCATGCGCCGATGACTGGCTACGCGCGCTGACTACGCAGGGCCCACGTGGTTTTACTTTGCGCCCGCGGCAATTCAACGATGCGCATTGGCCAACGGAGGTTGGGGCCTGAACCCAGACAAAACCAACCGCCCGGTTTCCTTTCGAGGCCCAGGGCGAGATGGGATCACTCGACAGCTGCAAAGAGAAAGGAAGCTCAAGGGCACGCCGACGAGGGAGATGCGGGCACCGCCCCCCGCCTACCCCCGGGGCCATGGCTACGCGGGATAGGTCCGGAGGAGATGCGAGGTTATGCAGATAGCTCGCAGATAATGTTGACGCTTCTGGTCATTTGGTACCACCGACAAAGTAGAGGAGGAGATCTTCCAGGCGTATGTACCTGGGGCGGGCCTTGGTGGGCTCATGGCGCTTGCATTGGAGCTCCGTCGCCTCGGCGCGCTTGACAGCGCGGCGGCAATATTTTTTTCAGACGAGAGGCTGGAGGCAGAACGAGTTGGACTCAGGAAGGTGCTGCGACCAGACCCTACGCCAACAAGGAGGCGTTCAAACAGTGGAGACCGCGCTGCGTTGCAGCGCTGAGGATTCGCAGGCTGCGATGGTGCAGGCGATGGGCGAAACATCCAGAGGATTTCGGGAGCGCATTTGCAGCAGTATTTGGAACGTCGAATTTGGGCAGCCCATGCGAAGTCAGGAGATTGGAAAATTGGTGGGCACGTGAGTCGTATGCGCCTTTTGCAGAGCAGGTGGCCAGGGATTGTCAGGCCCTGGCAGAGGTCCGTGAGGACGTGGCAGGCTGGTGCCCTCAGAGGCAGTCGGGTATCTCCACGTTTCAGAAGGGCGCGATGGGTTGGGAAGCGCGGGTTGGAGCATGCCCCAGCGTGCCACGACGCGCAGGGCGCGGCTGGGATGCCAAGCTGCCAGAGACAGTGGTGGGAGGAGTTGTTCGCTCCGCGTTGGCGTGACTAGGGGGGTGAAGGGCAGGTGCGCGGGGCAAAATTCATTGCGGCGGCGGCGATGGCAGCGCACGGGCGAGTGGTGCAGTTGTCTGCCGCTGATCCCCAGCCTAATGGTTACAAATCAATGTCCACGGTGCCCGAGCTCGCTCGCGACGAAAAATACAACCGACGGTGTCATTGAGGGCCGCGGAGAGTCACGGGACTTGCTGCAGAAGGAGAACTTGTTGGAATCGCCCTGTCCAAGCTTTCTTTCCTTGCTTGCGCCCTCTGCGGCTTTCAGGCTCAATCGTTGGCGCGCGCGGGCATCTTCCTGGCCCGCGCTGCGTGAAAGACGGCGATTGCTGCCCCCGCTGGAAATAGGACCAGACGAGGTGACGGAAGGATAATCGGAGCACTGCAGGGGCGGCAAGGGCAAAGGCAAGGACCAATGGGCAACGGAAGGGACCGGTTCCCAGGCGGCAGGGGGCCCGCCCGCGGCTGTGGCCGCGGCCGCGGGAGGGGGCGGCAAGGGAGGGGGGGGGCCGCAGACCCCCCGCCAGCAGCCACGAGCAGCGGAGGATTACGAGGAGTACAACCTCAGAGGGTGCGTCAACGGACTCCAGCGATTGGCCTTCCGCACAGCGGCAGAGATGAGGGATGCGAACCACGTGGCCTCGCGTATCTTTCTCATACCAGTCAGCAATTGGGCGTTTCGGAAGTCTCCGACAGCGCGGCAAAACTACGGGAACCAGGTCAGGGAGAGAGACAAGGGGCACATGCTGGGACCGCCAGGCATCCACGCGGGGATGGCGCTGATGGAGGGCATCTTGGAGCGACTTACACGTCGAGGGGAAACAGTAGGATACTTCAGCAGGATATCAGGGCACAGTTACGGCAATGCATGGGACAACTATCGTCAATTTCGTTTTGGAAGAGAAGTGAGCCGAGAGAAAGAGAGGAGATAATGGGATCGAGTAGGAGTACTAATCCCTCCCAGCAAAAGTTTGGAAAGCAGAGGCCTCCTGTTCCCCCTCCCCTTCTCCTTTTGAGTGGTCGCGTCGTCGTCTCTTTCCCCCTAGTTCGGGAGCCCTGTTTGCCCAGCGCGTCCCCATTCCCACGGCGCGCGAAAGAGCCGACAGTTGCTCCCCCCGCGCTGGCCCGCAGAGACTCGTACCCACAAGGTAGCGAGCCTCTCTTGCGGGGCCACCTCGGGGCTCGCCCCTTGAAGCTTCGAGGTAAGCCCCCTGCCGGCCCTAGTGAGAAGCCAGTGTTGTTGCACGACCAAAGCGCCGGGGATTCTGCAGATGCGCGCAAGGCACCATTCCAGGTGAGTTGACGTTCCTTCCGGGTCCAGTCCAATCGACGCTGGGGGTGCGGGCACCCCCGCTGGGGTTCGCGTGGCTGCAGACATTCATAGAAGCATGACCCCCAACCAGGTTTGTTGCAGTAATTTGGCCAGCACGGATGGGGTCCACATGTGCTTGCCTATTTGTGGGGGCCGTTTTGGGTCGTCTTGGTATCAACTGGGTGGTCTCTGGGTCTTCCCATAGGTCGCCTCGGATAAATATTTGGCCAGTCTTTGATTGTCTTAGGTATTCCCGAGGCCCCTTGGTCCGAAGGGCCTTGGACCTAAAAAGTATCGCGGCATTTCACATGTTTGAAGTCCTTCCATTGTGATGCTTCTCTTTGGGCATTTCGTGATGATTGGAGCCCTTCGGGAAACCTCTTCAGCTATGTTGGAGGCCTTCAAGATAATGTGGGTTGTGGTCAGCTGGCCAGCATACTGGCCTCCTCTTGGGCCGTTTTGGGTTTGTTGTCGAATCTACTCAGGGGTGCACTACGCAGCCGCATTGCCATCGCTCCCAAAGGCAGGGCCGCATTCGTGATTTTGCCATCGGGCGGTTTCCATGTGTGCTCTTGGGTCGCAGGCAGCGTATCGAGTCTGACCAATGCCAATGCGCATGCGTTGCGCGGGCCGATGGCGGTTTTCTTACAGAGCTTTCCGTATGTAAACAAGTAGATTGTCATGATCAGTTGTGTGGTCCAAGACGCGTTGCACGTGTGCCATTCATTTGCGAATTCGTGTCGAGAGCCTTATTGGAGAGAATGACGAGACCTGCTGAACTTTCCCCTTGTCTAGCATGCCGAGGCTTATCGACACCCATGCGACTGGGAGGTTCGCGCAAGCCGCGGATGTTAGTGAGGGTTGTCATTGGGATGGTCTTGATTATCTTGTGAGTTGTGGTGCGGATACGATTGCAGGTCTGGCCGCATTTGCAGTGGGCTTCAGCCTTTTGGGTTTGATCTCGATTACGGTGGTGTGTGGACCGCTTACATGATGTAATTATTCGATCGTTGGATGAGGAATTTCGACGCATGCACCATCGAAGACGCCTACGGCGCACCACCGTCGCTCCCTGCCTTTGGAAATGCCTCAGTGGCAGCCGGTGTGGAAACATGTCGGGGAGCACTTGGAGGAGCAAGATGGAGAGCACGGGAAGAGGGGGGAAACGGAGGAGTTTGAGGCTGTTTTGGTGGCTTCTTGGGTAGTGATGTGTTTTGTTGGTAGGGTGGTGGGCTGTGGAGCACTCTTGGCATGCCCGACGCCGTCGGAGGCCGTCTTTGGGTTCTATCTTAGCTTTGTTGGGACTCTCCTGGATCGCCTTAGGGCCGTATGTGAGAGGTATTGGGCCGTCTTGGGGCTCCCTTGGGCCATCTTTGAGCCATCGTGGATGCCTTTTTGGAGGTCTGAAGCTGTCGCAGGCCCGGAATAGCGAGAACGCTAAACTCGTTGGAGAACGCAACGGGGTTCAATGAATTTGAGCCTCCTGGAAGTCTCGTGGAGCAGTTTGGAGCGCCACTGGGGCCGGTTTGGCTGTCTTGAGGTCACCTCAGGTTAGGCCGTCTGTCTGGTGTCCGTCTTGGACCGTCTGAGGGGCATCTTGAGGCCGTATTGTAGGCCATCTTGGACAACCTTCGCCGTCTTGGACAACGCATTCGATCATCTTGGTTCGTGTTGGGGCTCGTCTTGGGACCATTTTGGAAGCCTTGGTGCTGTCCAAGGCTGTCGGAAATCCAGAATGGCGAGACCAGACAATCATTGAATACTGCCATGATTATTTTGAACCTTCTGGGAGCTGTCCGGACGCCCTCTCACAGCAATGTGGGCTTTTTGGGGCCTTCCTACGCCGTCTTGGGTCAATTTTCAGCCGTGTTGGAGGCGTCTTGGAAGTCATGAAGGCGTCTTGGGACCGTCTTGGAGGCCATAATGGTTGTGTTTTGATGGGACGTTCAAAACAATAGCAACAATTCGGCACGCGACGCTGAGGCAAGCACAGGAGTGGCGGATCGAAGACGCCTACCGCGAATCACCGCCGCCCCCTGCCTTGTTTGAAACGCCTATGTGGCCGAACGTTGTGGCCAGAGGCCTGCCAAGCTATCGGACCATGTGTTCCCCGAATCGGTTTGGAAAGCGTTCGGGGAACACGGTGGGCGAGGCTGGGCCGATTTGGGCCTTTCTTGGGGTGCTCCAGGGCCGTCTTGGAGGCCATCTTGAGCGTCTTAGAGGCCTCTTGGGCCGTCTTCGGGTCTTGGGGCCGTCTTGGGGGCCTCTTGGGCCGTCCTGGGGCCATACTGGAGACCTCTTGGGCGATCTTTGGGGGCTCTTGGGCCGTCTCGGGCCGTCGGAAGGCAGACAAAAACACATGCTACAATCCTTACAAATTCTTCGGACATCAATGATTTTTGCCTTTTCGGGCCTTCCTGGAGGCCCTCTTGGAGGCCCCTTGGGCCGTTTTGGGCCATCTTAGGGCCATCTTCGGCCGCCTTGGTGGGCTCTTGGCCCGTCTGATGCCATCGGAAGCCGTTTGGGGGACCTCTCTGGGCCGACTTGGGGTTTTCTTGGATTGCTCCAGGGCCGTCTTGGAGACCATCTGGGGCGTCTTAAAGGCCTCCTGGGCCTTCTTGGGGGCCTCTTGGGGCCGTCTTGGGGGCCTCTTGGCCAGCTCGGGCCGTCGGAAGGCCGACAAGAAGCAAATGCCATAATCCTTCAAACACCCAGGGCACACCAATCATTCTGGCCTCTTCGAGGCCTCCTGGGGGCCCTCTTGGAGGCATCTTGTGTCGTCTTGGGCTAGCCTAGAGCCAACTTCGGCCATCTTGGTGGGCTCTTGGCCCGTCTGACGCCGTCGGAAGCCGTTTGGGGGGCCTCTCTGGTGCTCCAGGGCCGCCTTAGAGGCCATCTTCGGCGTCCTGAAGGCCATCTTGGCCCGTCTTGGGGCCGTCATGGGGCCATCTTGGAGGCCTCGTGGGCGATCTTGGGGCGATCTTTGAGGCCTCTTGGGCCGTCTTGAGCCGTCGGAATGCCGAGAAGAAACACATGCCATAATCCTTCAAACACCTAGGGAAAACACATGATTTTGGCCTCTTCGAATCCTCCTGGAGGATTGGGCCGTCTTGGAGGCTTCTCGGGCGACCTCCGAGGTATATTCGACTCTCTGGGGCCGTCTTGGAGGCCGTCTTGGATCATCTTGGGCGGACTTGAAGGCCAACTTGGACCATCTTGGAGGCCATCTTGGGCCAACGTAGCCATCTTGAAGGCCATCTTGGGCCATCTTGAGCGAAACATTGGGGAATCGTGTTCCTTGAGGTCCTTTCCGGGTGGCCAGCGGGACGGGCTGAAGCCCCAGAGGGAGTTCTTTGGGAAAAGAGCCAAAACCAAAATCGAAGGGCCCAGCACGCCAGGCACCCCTGCGATGAATCGACAGGGGGCGGCGGATCGAGTGGCCTTCGGCCAATCCCGCCACCGTGCTTGGGTTGTGTGCCGAGTCTTCTTACAAGCATCTCGATTCTCTGAGGATGTCTCGCGGGGGCCTCTTGAATGCCTCTTGGGAGCATGTTGCGGGCCTTTTCTTAGGGGCGTCTTGGGGGCGTCTTGGGGCATTTTGGGTGCCTCTTGGGACATCTTGGGAGCCTCTTGGCGGTCTTGTGGCCATTTCGGTGCCCCCTTCCCGAGTCCGACGCCACACATGTTTTCCGACATGTGGTGCGCCTTGGGGAAAAGGTCTTGCGGCGATCTCCGAGCACCCGGTAGCGCCCCTGAGTCCGGACCCCGGGCCCTTTGAAGACAGCTTGCAATCTTCCATGTCAGAGTATGCGAACGGAGCCCGATACGCTCCGCTCAGTGCGCACGGCACGTGGCGGAGATGCATCTGCGCGTGAATTCGCCTACAGTCTTGATTTATGCCTGCATGTATCTCCGCCCACATACTATATGTGTACATGTACTGTTCAAACACACGGACGTATGTATCCATCCGGATACACACAACAGACATATATATATATATTCATACAAGCAGACATCATTTCTGGATCGATGCTGCCATTTTGGACACGTATGGTTCGCGGAACAGGCCGGGAGGAAGATTTGGTGAACCATGGCGAAACATTATATATGTATATATATGTATACATATATATATATAGGTATGCTTGTATGTATATATATATATGTATATATATATGTGCATATGTGTATATATATATATATATATATATATATATATATCCGTAAGGGCTTCGCCCCCTGCCGCCGGCCCCCTCTCTCGGAGAATGGGCCATGGAAGAGCTAAGTCATGAGGCCTTGGCGCTGTCGTGAAGCAGTATCGAAACTTCATGCGAAGCCGAGTCGCAATCAGCAAAACCAACTGATCACAAGAGGGGTTACCACACCTGGCGATTGGTAAGACGTGTATGGTTTAAGGGCTTGGTTACCACACCTTGCGATTAAAGGGCCGAGGGAGTTCTCGCAGTTTGGGTTACCAGTGCGGATGGCGTGTTTCAGAAATGTGGCAAATCCCCTGTGTTTTTGGACCCTGACCCCGCGGATCTGCGTGAGGGGTGGCACCGAATTTCAGAAATGTGGCAAATGTGTTTTTGGACCCTGACCCCGCGGATCTGCGTGAGGGGTGGCACCGAATTTCAGAAATGTGGCAAATCCCATGTGTTTTTGGACCCTGACCCCGCGGTCTGCGTGAGGGGTGGCACCAGAAATGTGGTGTTTTTGGACCCTTTTTGGACCCGATCGGATCTGCGTGAGGGGTGGCACCGAATTTCAGAAATGTGGCAAATCCCATGTGTTTTTGGACCCTGACCCCGCGGATCTGCGTGAGGGGTGGCACCGAATTTCAGAAATGTGGCAAATCCCTGTGTTTTTGGACCCTGACCCCGCGGATCTGCGTGAGGGGTGGCACCGAATTTCAGAAATGTGGCAAATCCCCTGTGTTTTTGGACCCTGACCCCGCGGATCTGCGTGAGGGGTGGCACCGAATTTGTGGATCCCTTGTGTTTTTGGACCCCGACCCCGCGGATCTGCGTGAGGGGTGGCACCGAATTTCAGAAATGTGGCAAATCCCTTGTGTTTTTGGACCCTGACCCCGCGGATCTGCGTGAGGGGTGGCACCGAATTTCAGAAATGTGGCAAATCCCATGTGTTTTTGGACCCTGACCCCGCGGATCTGCGTGAGGGGTGGCACCGAATTTCAGGAATGTGGCAAATCCCATGTGTTTTTGGACCCTGACCCCGCGGATCTGCGTGAGGGGTGTCGATTTCGAGCCCCCCCAGCAATTCAGACAACGCGCTCAGGTGAGGCTAAAAATCCTGTTTGGGCTCCCCCCTCTCGCGCGGTTTATCAACTATTTACAGTAACCAGCAAGAAGTCAACTAGTTACAGTAACCAGCAAGAAGCAGAACTGTAACACTGGAAACTACAAGCTACAACTGGTACAGGAAACTGCGAATCACGTGCCTACAGCCTGGTGGCCCCACAAGGGGGCCGGCGGATATATATATATATATATATATATATATATATATATATATATATATATATATCAGTTCAGGGGTGGGAAGGGGTTGAAGGCATAGTAGCCCGACCTGCGGAGAGTGGAAGCAGTTACGCAGTCGTTTCACGCCGTTCGTTGGCCTTATATTTTGCAGCAGTGTGGGCGGATGCTTGTTGCTGTGCTTGAGAGTTAAGTGTGCATCAGACTTTGGGCGTTTCGGGCCAGGCGTCGGCGAAAGGTCATATGGTTCTTGCCCCTTGCCGCGCCTGCATGCTCGCGGTTCCAGGTGGCGCGGGCCAGTTGGACTCGTCGGAAATGTGCAGTTCTGGTGACGCGCCAAGTCTCTCTGGGCTCGTTCCGAAACCAGCCGCCAGCCCACCAGGGGCGTGCTTCTGTATTGCTTGGAGCATCATGGGCATTATAGCCCCCGGCCCCCCCCCCTATACAACGTAACTTCCCTCCCCTCCCAGTGCGCTCCGGGCACTGCCGCCGTGCGCATCGGGCACACGGTCGGGCACACGGCCGGGGGGAGGCGTTACATTATATAGGGGGCCCAAAAATATTCATTACCACCACCTCCCCCCCCCCTCCCTCTCGCTGCAAAGAGGAGAGAGGAGGAATTGACGAGGTGGTGGTGTATATTCTTTGGGCCCCCCATTCTACCCCCCCCCAGCCCCCTCCCCCCCTATAAATGCCCATGATCGCCGAAACTGAGGAAGCGCGCTCCAGGGCGGCGCTCGCGGGTGGCGCTGCTCGGGAAGCCAGCCGGCGACCCTGGGCGGACCTGCCCGCCCCCGGCCCTGGGACGGTGCAGGGGAGCGAGCAGGCCTCCTTGGCCTGCGCTCTGCCGTCTCACCGATGGGCCGATCTCCGACCACCACCACAACGGGTAGGAGAGGGAGAAAAAAGGAGGAGGAGGAGGAGGAGGAGGAGGAGGAAAGAGAGGAGGAGGAGGAGGAGGAGGAGGAGGAGGAGGAGGAGGAGGAGGAGGAGGAGGAGGAGATGGAGGAGGAGGAAAAGGAGGAGGAGGAGGAGGAGGAGGAGGAAAAGGAGGGCGGGAGAGGGAGGGGGAGGAGGAAGAGAGGGAGGGAAAGGAGGAACAGGAGACATCCTCTCCCCCTGTCCTACCTGTGGTAGTGGTTTGTGGAGACGTGGTCCATCATGCATACGGCAGGCTCACCCCGCGCTGTCGCGGGGGCGACCCCGTCTTAGGCCTTCGGGGCTGAGTGCTGCTGCAGGGACGGATCGTCCCAGAGCGCTCCGGAACGCTCTCGAAGCCTTCTGGAGCGCTTCGAGAAGGCCGCGGCGCCCACACGTCTCCCAGGATGGCCCGATCTCGGGGATCCCCGGTGCATCCCTGCCCGATGCTGTCCCTGTTCTGGTCCCGCTGTAGGGAGCGACCGACCCGCGCCATCGGAAATTCATCGTCGTCGGAGTCATCCCCACCCCACCGGGGCAGGGTGAGTTGGCTCTCCCAGCGTTACCCCCCTCCCGGTGGGGATGGGTGCTCCGAAATACGAAGGATACGGCTCTCATCCCCACCTGAGGGGGGGTAGAGTGCCCAGCGGGGCCAAGGTTTCCCCGGTGGGGATGGGGATTACTGTCTTCGTCCAGAGGAAAGCCGAGAACCCTCGGGGCTGAGCTGGTCCTCGCGCTGTCAGAAGCAGGCGCCGGCGTCGTCACGGCATTCGCCCGCTGAGGTCTCCGCAGGTCTAGGATAGGGAGTGCAGCGCGACGTCCAGGGGCCTCCAGAGGTCCGAACTGTGCGGACAACACGCAAGCCCTCGACCTTCGAGGATCGAGGATGTTGACCGATGGGCCATCGGACAGCCCCGAGCCGCGAACGTTCGGGGCTGTGTCAGAAGCCAGCGCCGACGTCGTCGTGGCATGAGCGGGAGCGGAGGTGTCCCGGGGCGTCCTCCAGTCGTCTCTGGCGGCCTGAGAATAGCCCGATCACATGGGAACAGACAGTGGAGGCCCATGCCCTAAGGTTTTTTGGGTTTCGATGGTTTTGCCGTGGAAGGCGTGATGTTCCCGCGCCAAAAATCAACGGACGTTTTGGGTCTCAGGATTGGGTTTCTTGTGGACTGGCCTCCACTGTATGTTCGATCCTCGACGGTTGAGGGTAGAGCCAGCCCGCATTGTAAGGATGGGCAACCTTCCCAAGGGTACCCTTGAATCCTTGCCTCCGCGCCCCATCCTTAGCGACTTTCGCTGGCCAACCTCGCTCGAAAGTCGTCATCATGGCCCTGGCATCCTTATCGCGCACCCTTCTGATACGGGTCGACTGTAGATTCGATCGTCGACGGTTGAGGGTGGCAGAGAAACAGAGAAGGAGGCATGTTCTGGTGCATATTGCTCTGAACAGTCGCAAATTCTCTTGGCGAGGAGACAGGGAGACGAGGGAGGGAGGGAGGAAAGAGGGTCAACACGAGCTTCATTCAGTAGTTGCAGCTTCCCTGGGTGCAGAGTCGGGGGCCGCCGACCATGCACCAGGCCCCGATCCTGGCCAGGCCAATGTTGCACACTGGACGGGCGTAAACGCCTCCCTGGCCAGGCCATCAGGGCGTACGCCGACTCCGGGCGAGGATGCGCAGCTGCTCCCCACCTGATGCATGCCGTGTCGGATGGCTCAGTGGCTCCACGAACGCGTCGCCGAGCATGCCATCGTGCTGTGTCCGCTCCTTCTCCTCCAAAACAAAATGGCAGCCGACGCCAACCTCCGAAGGTGCTACGGTCCCGAGGGCCGAGGCAGCACGGCACCCTCGAGCTCCGCCAGCGTTAAGTCGGGCATGTACAAGGATCGTGAAACATTAGCCCGGGGACGATTTCTCGTGCTCTTTTGACAGGTCTCGTGTATTTTTTGACTGCTTCTTATTTTTCTTCCGAAGTCCGCCTGCAGGAGGACGTGCCCGACCTGACGCCAACGGGGCGGTGCCCTCCCCCCGACGAGGTCTGGCGTGATCGACCGGCACGAGCTGCCGGAGCTGCTGGTCAAGTGCGGGGTGGTTGCCGACGGCCCCTCCGCGCCGCCCCTTTGCCAGGCGCACGCATCTCGGAGGGATTCGATGTGTACACCGCGTCGTCTGGTCGGCCAGGGAGCCCGAATAACAACAAAAGGGCATACTCCTCGGAGCTCCGCGCGGATCTCCCCGGGAGGAGGGGGGGGCCTGCGCCGATCCCAGGAATTCGCACTCGCTCGCACCTCAGAGTACTGATTTGAAGGCACCATTTATGTTCTACACCAACCCGTTTGGTCAGCCAAGGAGCCAAAGAGCTCCACGAAGAGATTCGGTGGATAGGCGCTCCAGCGTCCCACAAGTTTCGGGAGCTGGGGCGTGGATACAATGAGCTCGCTGGCCGACCAAACGACGTGGCGTGTACATCGAGCCCCGCCCAGCATGCAATTGCCATCGTCGACGACGGCGGCGTCGACGTCTTCGTTTCCGAGACTTTTGTTGGACGTTGTTTGGGGGTTCTCGTCGCGACGGTTGGGCGCCGTCTCGGAGGGACTCGGCGTATACACCACGTTGTTTGGTCGGCCAAGGTCACTTGATGGGCCTGTTTTCCACCACCACCACCACAAACTGGATGGGGGTACGGAGGTGGAGGAGGAGGAGGAGGAGGAAGGATGAAGAGGGGGAGGACCCCCTCCCCCCCCTCCAACTTGTGGCGGTGGTGGCGATGGAAAGCAGGCCAATCATCAACGATTAGTTTCGCCGTGTGGACGCCGGGAGGCTGGGGCGTCGCAGCACCGAGCTCCTCGGCCGACAACGCGACGCGGTGCATGCATCCAGCCCCTCCCTCAAGCAGTGGCGAAGCGTCCTGGCTCGCCTATAGTCCCACAGAAAAATGTTCTAACTAACCTTTTGTGGTTTGCACGAAATGTTCTTAGAACATTTCTGGCTGGGACTGTCTTGCTGTATCCCATCAGGCTTATGCTCTAAGAACATTGCTTTTGTTCTAAGAACATGTTTGGGTTCTAAGAACATGGCGTGGTAGGCCTATAGGAGTGCCGGGACGGTCGGTCCCTGCTCAACTCCCAGCGACCACGTCGACGGTTTCGGATCTGAGGCGTGTTGACCCTCTCCGGAGGTTCGCGTCGCCATGGCTGGGCGCAGCTGGAGAAACTGGCTGGGACGCGCGCCGGGGAGGGGTCCAGCGGACCGTTTCTGATCGGACTTGGCCGGCTCGCCATGCTCAGGATGGAAAAAAACACACAGACACAGTGAATCGTCGATCCCCAGAAAAATATGGGAAAATATGCGAAGTGGGGGGAAGACAAAAACCCAGAAAATATGAGGAATCCGTTTGTTCGTGTGTATCTATTTGTGTGTCCCAGGGCCCCTTCACGTGCATGAGGCAGAGAGGGTTCCTGGTGGAAGAAAGGGGTCCTCCGAGGACTGCTTCGCCGTCCGCGGCCGTGCGCGGGGCCCTCCGCGGCCCCCGCGGGCCGTCGGCAGAGCGGCCTCGGGATGGAGCAGCTCCGCCAGCGCGCGGATCGAGGTCCCCGAGGCGGGTCGGGCGGGTGTGGACGCCCGACGTGGGCACGGAAAGGATGGGCAGAATGCCCGACGGGTCTCCGGCCGTGGGCGCAGCGACGAGGGGCCCGACGGGTCTCCCGCTCGCGCCGGCAGCGCCCAGACTTCCAGCATCAGTCTCGCGTCCGTCGAATCGCCCCGTATAGTCTGCACGGACGGAGTGGGTACGGCAAGGAGGGGTACAATGCCCAACAGCAGTTCCTGTTCATTCGGAACAGGACTCGCTGTCGGTGTCGCCGCGGCCTGTGTCCATCCGAGACAGAGGGCCGCCTGCCCAACATTTGGGACAACATTTTTTGTTGAGCATTGTGGACATTCTTTCCGTACCCATTTCGGGCGTGGGGTGGGGGGTTGGGACCGCTGATTCCATGGACCTTGCGATCCCAGGTCGCATGCCAAACGCTTGTTGTGAGGATGAGGGCCCCATGGGCCTGCATCGTCGGAGCCGCGTGCGCGCAGTTCCACAGCGAGAGCACGGTCTTGAGAAGGGGCCACTCAATTTGCGCAGCAGCTGGGACCCGAATCATGTACGAACAAAGGTTATGAGGGCGCCTCAGGCAAGATTTCGATGTGAAAAGAGAATCGCTGTGCGTCCCTGTGCAGATGATGATGATGATGATGATGATGATGATGATGATGATGATGATGATGATGATGATGATGCTGATGCTGATGCTGATGCTGATGCTGATGCTGATGCTGATGCTGATGCTGATGCTGATGCTGATGCTGATGCTGGTGATGCTGATGCTGATGCTGATGCTGATGCTGATGCTGATGATGATGATGATGATGATGATGATACTGCTGCTGCTGCTGCTGATGATGATGATGATGCTGATGCTGATGCTGATGCTGATGATGATGATGATGATGATGATGATGATGATGATGATGATGATGATGATGATGATGATGATGATGATGATGATGATGATGACCGTACGTATCTGTAAGCTTCGGGGCCACCGGATGCACAGATGATCTCCAGCGGGCGAGCTCGATTGTGAAGAGGGGGCGCCGTCCGTCTGTCCGGTTGTTGAAGACTGTACGCGCGGGAACAGTCAGCTCAGGACATTTTGAAATCGAGTCTTCCTAGTGACATTCATATTTGAATAGTGAGGGGGTGTTAGGTGATGACGGCATCTGGAGAGCGAAACGGCCTCGTGGCTCTCGGAAGCTGTTAGGAACTACTACTTAGAACGTTCACGGCTCTTGAGCGATGCTCACATGTGGAAGACCAATCTCCGTCTACCTGTGTAGATGATTTGGGGACTTTTCAAACGCCGATGTTCGTCGCCATGACGAGAGGATTTGGTTGCACACCATCCGCCCTGCATCTATGTAGCTGCTGGATGCGGCTCAAGCGAATGAGCACGGCGCTCAGGCGAGAAGCACAATTAGGCCAAACGAGGATGTCCACACAGCATGTTGTTCGCATCTTGCCGCGTGGTGCTAGGATGTGCTCATTTGGCCGCTTGGGCCAGGCAGTACGGTCGGTACTAGGTTTCTCCATTTGATTGGCCACGGTCTTGCTGCAGAGAGCAAGTGCGTATCTTTCGTGCCAAAGCAGTTGGGCAATTCCGCGCCCTTCTATTCGTAAATGCAGCCGCTCTGAATTTTCGACGGGGGTCAGCCTCGCCTCGTCGTCGCGACGCGACGGGGGGTCGGAGCGCCTTCGGCGCGCGGTGGCTGCCCGCGAAGGGGGTCGATGCGGGGCTGTCGGCGTGGGTGACGCCCCCCCGACGCTCATGAAGAAACTCGGAGTCACCACCTCGAGAGGTGGCTCTTGGCTGCTCCCGCCCGTCGGGGGGGGGACAAGAGAGGGAGGAGGCGGAGGGCCAGAGCGTGCTTTTTTATGCGGGAGAGCAGGCAGCCCTGTTGATGCATCCACGGGGAGGAGGAGGAGGAGGAGGAGGAGGAGGAGGAGGAGGAGGAGGAGGAGGAGGAGGCAGTGTTTGCCGGGCCATCTCGCGGGGGGAGGGGAGATTCTGGAGGTAGGAAATGAAGGATGTGGTGTAAAGGGTTGTGGTGCCACTGCTGAACCTGGCGACGCTATAGATCCTTGATAACATCGCCAGTTCCACGATCCTTATCACATGTCTTTCTACCACACTCCTTTCCGACCTCCAGAGAGATGTGTGGATTAGTTGGCCATGGACGAAGATGCACCATGAGACATTTCTCCAGAGCGGTCTGGAACGCTCCGAGGGCGTTCCCGATGGCTCCGAAACGGTCGCAGCACCTGAGACATCGTCCAGGCGGGCTGGCTTGCGGAGATTCCGAGGTTTCCCCATTCGTTGTGTTTCTTTTCTTTGCTTTCGTCTCAGGAGAGCGGAAAGGAGACGACGTCCCCCTTGCGTCTTCGAGCACCTCCCGGGTGTTGGGTGCATGTGCCCTAGGCCTTCCAGATGGGGTCAGAGTAGATGGGGTCGGAGGTTCGCGCCGCATCGCCGCTGCATCGGCGATGCGGCTCTACGTGGAGCCCGATCTTGTCCACGTCGATGTCGCCGATGCACTGCCGACGTCCTCGACGAATCGCCGATGTATCGGTGATACATCGACGATGCGGTGCGATCGGCGTCACCCCAATATATTTATTCTGTATGTGCTTCGCCCCTCCAGGGGCGACGCGCGCACCGATAAATCCAATAGTGTGTGCGTCGTGGCGGGCGCTTTCTGGCCACACCGCTCTGGAAACGATGCTCTACAAGATGGGTATGCTAGACGTTCGGGCTTGGCGCGCGCTGCCAAGGAGGACGTGCAGCACTGCTGTGTCTCTGTGCCTCCCATGCGGTGCCCCGACCCCCTGAGGGAGGCCTCCGCAGTGCTGCTCTCCGCCCGGCGCCCGTGCAGAACCACGTGTGGTGCCCGTTGCCCCCTCGGACTGCCCCTGGAGCGCGCGCGCACGCGGTGGCGGCCGCGCGCACGGACCGCCGCGGCGCGACGACGAGCCCGCAAGCGCGGCTCGTCCGTCGTCGATCGTCGGTCGTCGTCGGTCGTCGTCGTCGTCGTCGTCGTCGTCGTCGTCGTCGTCGGTCTCCGTCGTCGGCCGTCGTCGGCGTCGGCGTCGGCGTCGGCGTCGGCGTCGTCGGCGTCGTCGGCGTCGTCATCGTCATCGGTTTTGTCGACGCCTTCGAACAAGTTTCGAGACCTCACGCGGCAGGTTGACACCCTTGGCGGCGCCGGCCCGGGCATCGTCGTCGTGGTCGCAGCTTTTGTTTTCTACGAGTGGGCCCCCAAAACATTTCGATACTCGTGATCGTTGTCTTGTTCATTGTTTTGCCGATCTGCGCGGGCCCTCGCAACCCCCCTCCCCTCCCGCATGGAGTAGATCTGGACTGTCTTTTGGCGCCTCTTTCGAGCAGGTGGAGTCTCCCCCATAGGACGCACTGTTTGCAAACAGTCGCATGAAGCAGAGGTCCGGAGCCAGACACCCGCCCTCCCCCCCCCTTCCGCTCAATGGCCTGAGCTTCGTCGTCTTCGTTAGCTTCCCCCGGCGGCGTGAACAGCCGCGCGCGGTGTGAGGGGCTCCCCGGCGCTGGCGGGACTGCTCTGCTACCCGCCAACCCGTGCCCAGACGTGGTGCGCAGCTGGGAGGTGGCCGCGGAGATCGAGGACGCGGGATCACAGCTCGAGGTTCGAGGGCAATGGAAGAACATGAGACGGCGTAATCATATCACTTTCGAAGTTCGCGCAGTTTTCCTGGGTCCGCGCCGGACCCGTCCTGGGGGTGCCTCTAGCGCCGCCCCTGCCGCGCTCCGCGTGCTTGAGAAGGGGGGTCACCCGCAGACCCAAATCTCCGCGCGGACCTCCAAAAGGTTCTGTTGAGGTTAGTCGTACCCTTGTGTTGCCTCCCGAGGCGCTCCTGTGCCACTGTGGCATCTCCTTAGAATTATGTCGGGCCTGTCCCTGTACAGGGGGAATGTTCCAAAATAGTGAAAAAATAGTCAGGGGATTACTTTTTGAATATTTTTACGCATCTTTTGAATATTTTTGGTGTTTTTTTATTTTTCGTCAAAAATCCCCCTGTAGGGGGACAGGCCCGACCTAACCTTAGAACTGTTGGTCATTGGTCAGACCTCAAACAGTCCCAACTGTTCCCCAAACAGTGCTCGCACCGCCGCCCGTCGTCTGGACAGGTGTGGCGGTCTGGCGGCTATGTTGCCGCCGTCGACGCCCCGTCGCCGCCTCGTCGCCGCCCGTCGTCTGGGCAGGTGTGGCGGTCTGGCGGCTATGTTGCCGCCGTCGCCGCCTCGTCGCCGCATAGATTGCGCACCTCATAGATTCTCCTTTTTACAAAGCGAGAAGGCTCTAGCCTCCTCCTGGGATTACCTGTTCATCCCCTGCAAAAGATACGACGCGCGCGCACTCGCTTATCGAACCCATCAGTTTTTCAATGACCGTTTTCAGAAATGAAACGAAGTACACACGCGCGCGTTGTCGCGCGCGCATGCCGAAATCCTTCAGAAACTTTAGTTTTCACACGGGTTCCAAACCGAGTATTCAAACAACACAAAAAAGTTTCGCGACACGGATTTTCAACAAAAAACATGCGCGCGCGGTCTTGCGATTGTTTGCGAGAACTATAGATGCTCGCGCGCGCATGTCGAAATCGTTTGAACGCGCGTGCCGTCGCGAGAATTCCTTGCAACAGATGAGACGAAAGTCGCGCGCGTGTCGTCGCGCGCGCATGCCGAAATCCGTCAACAACCTCCGGTTTCGTAGCGAAATTACAACCGAGTGTCCAAACAAACCCCTAACACGCACATGGCTTCGCAACATTTACAAAGAAGCATGCGAATGCTCTCTCTTGCGAATTTTACAGAAAACGATAGTTTCCCCCATATTTATAGATTTCTGCCAAACGGGCCTCTGGCGCCGCATGCCGACATCATTCGCACGGCTTTGCGCGCGTGCTTGAAGTGGGCACGATCCGTGTCAAAGACTACAATGCGGGCCACTCTCGCGCGTCGGCCGCGCGCGCATGTCGAACCCCTTTTTCCGAAACCCTTCACCACCGACGCGAGGACGCCGTCATCGTCGTCGGCGTGATCGGCATCGGCGCCCGCACTGGCCGCGCCGTCGTCGTTGCCAACATCGCCACCAGCGTCGCTACTATCATCATCGTTTGTACCTTGGTCGACGGTGCCATGATACAGCGCCCGCCCAAGTCGCCGACTCGCAGTGAAGTGCCAGCTGGGATGTTTCCAGCGGTCAGCGCCACCGCGGCCGCGTCGGTCGCGCCAAACTAGCTCGCCGCTGCACGCGCGTGCTTGGGTTAGCGCGGCCGCCCGGACGGACCACCTAACGCCAAGCACTCATCGCAATCGCCACCGCATGGGCTTTGCAAACTAAGATGCGGGCGGGTGGGTGGGATGTATGCAAAAACGTGAGATGTGTCAACTCGTTTGCAACAAATCAATTGCACCGCATGGGTTCCTTTTACTTAATAGAAAACAGGTTTTGCCCCCCTTTCAGGGTTAAAATCCCCCGGGAACCGACGCAAAACACATCGGATTCTGATCAAATGTCCATCCGACCTCTGAATTCACCTTATCCCTGCCAGGCCGGTATCGACCCCCCATCCTATGCAGCAGGTAATATGCGCGCGCATTCGTTTACCAAACATTAGAGTACAAGTTTCCAAGAATCCTTTTTGTAACAAGTGGAACGAAGTTCGCACGCGCGCGTCGTCGCGCGCATGCTGTCGTCCTGCGAAAAAAAACCTCAGGGTTCGGAACGATGTCAAAATCGTGTTTCAATATACATATATATATATATGTATATATATATATATAAAACGGTTGGTTTCGCAACACTCATGTTCTATATGCAAAAAGCTCGCGCGGTCCTACGACAGCTGAGCAAGACAATCGGTTTTCAAGGTTTTTGGAACATACTATCAAACGGGCTTCGCGCGCGCATATGCCGAAACCTTTCGAACGCCCTTGCGCGCGTGCCGTCGCGAGAATCCTCTGACGAAGCGCGCGCGCGCGCGTGCGTCGTCGCGCGCATGCCGAAATTTTTCAAACAATCTAGGTTTCGGAAGGATTTTGTTTTGAAATCGCGTGTCCAGAAAGCATACGAAACCAAGGTTTTCGCAACACGGATGTTCAACAAAAGCATGCGCGCGCGCTCTTGCGTCGTCGTCGTCGTCGTTGTTGTCGTCGTCTTCTGCCTTCCCTCGTCGTCGTCCTCGTCGTCGTCGTCTTCTCTGGCGTCGTGGTCGTTTCCGTCGTCGTTGTCGCCGTAGTCGTCTTTGTTCCTCCCTCGTCGTCGCCGTCGTCCGTTATCGGCGTCTCGTCGTCGTCCGTCCTATGCCTTCGCCGTCGCCGGCGTCGCCGTCCTCCCTCCTGTTTCGTCGTTCGCGTCGTCGCCGTCTTCCCTCCTCCCTCGTCGTTGTCGTCGTTGTCGCCATCGTCCTCCCTCCTCCTTCGTCGTCGTCGTTGACGACGTCGTCGTCGTCTTCGTCGTCGTCGTCGTCATCGGGGTCGTCGTCTTTGTCGGCGTTGTCATCGTCGTCGTCGGCGTCGTCGTCGTCGTCGGTGTCGTCGTCGTCGTTGTCGTCGTCGTCGAAGACGTTGGAGACGTCGTCGGTGTCGGCGGCGTCGTCGGCGTCGCTTTGTCGCTGCCGTCGTCGGCGCCGGTGTCGTTGCCAAGTGCTACTTGGTACCTGCCATCACGGTCCTAGGAGGTCATGCGACCAAGTTGCGGATGGGAGGGTGGGGCGTTTGCACGAGCAGCGGGGAGGACAGTTTCAAGTTGAACAAGTGAATTCTAGACGTTTCGCGTATCCCCACCAGCCCGTCCAGAAACGACGCCCAGGCGAGTAGAGGGTCGTCCTGAGGGGGTTTTCGGCGTCTTGGGTGCCGCGGGGGGGCCTCTGTGGGCAGTTCGGGATCCTCTTTTGGGCCTCCTGGGGGCCTCTTGGGGCCTCTGGGGGCCATCTTGGGGCCTTAGGGGGCCTCCTGGGCGGGGCCATCTTTGCCCCCGCAGAAGGGGTCCTGTAGGGATCCTATCGAGACCTTTTTTCAGGCCCTCCAGGATTTCTATAGGGTCTCTATAGGGATCCTGAACCGATCCTGTAAGGATCCTCTAGCTACCTCTTCGGCCCTGCATGATCTCTATGGGGGTCCTACAGGGGTCCTCTAGGAATCTTGTAGGAGTCCTGAAGGGACCATATAGGGTCTCTATAGGGGCCCTGTAGGGATCCTAGCGGGATCCCATAGGGACCTCACAGGCCTTACATTACCCCTACACGGCTTCAACAGGGTCTCCGTAGGATTCCAACAGGGTCCTTGTAGGAATCTTTCCGTAGGGTTTTTTTTATACAGGATGCCCAGAGGGACCCGATCGGGATCCCGGCAGGATCTCTATAGGGTTCCTAAACGAACCCTATAGGGATCTCCATCGGAGTCCCTAAAGGAGCCTTATAGGGATTTCTAGCGGGTCTCTAAAGGGTTCCTCAAGGGACCCTATACGGATCTCTATAGGGTCTCAAAAACCCGACATGGATCTCTATCGGGTCTCCATATTGTCTTTATAGGGCGCTATACAGGCCCTATCCTCAATACGGACATGTACAGGGTTTCTATAGGGATCCGCAAGCACCTCATACGGATATGTTTAGGGCTTCTATATAGAACCGCAGGAATTCTGTTCGCATGGATTTCTACAAGGTTTCTATAGTGCTCCTGAAGAACCGTATAGGGCTCTCTAGTCGGTCTCTCCAGGGATCTTAAAGAACCCGATAGGGATCTCTATAGAGCCTCTATAGGGGTCCTAAAGAACTTTATAAGGATCTCGATCGGATCGTTATAGGCTTCCAAAAAAACCTTGTAGAGAACCCTATAGGGTGTCTGTTGGGATCCTAAAGAACCCTATAAGGGTCTCTCTAGGGTCCCAATCGGGATCCGAAAGAACCCAATCGGGATCCTGAAGGGACCCCATGGGGATCCTCTAGGCCCTGCAGGGTTTCCATAGCGGCCCTATAGGGATCCTATAGGCCCTGCAATGTTTCCAAAAGGGCTTGTATCGGGATCCTATAGGCCCTGCAGGGTCTCCATAGGGCTCCTACGGGGACCCCGTTCCGGAGCCTCGCTGGAACAAATATCGGATTCCGCTTGGAGTTCCGTAGGGAGAACGTAATGATAGCATTGTTTTTGTGTTGTTTTCGTTGGGTTGCTCGGTTGCTGGGTTGCTGGGGGGGGGTGCTACCCTCGCGTCCTTGTTATTCGCTTTGAGTATTCGTGGACGAGGCGGTTACAGCGAGCGCAGGGGGCGCGTCCCTCAGAACAGCCTTGACATTGTTGTTGTTGCTGCTGCTGTTGTTGATGAGTTCTCATTTCTGAACAATAATTATTGTCCCCGCCCGATGCACACATGTTTTTTTCAATTGCAGTGCCCCTCCCGGGCTCGCACCTTGTTTTTTAGCAGGGAAAGTCTTGAGGGTGAAGCTGTGTCGCTGGCCCCCTGTTTACAATAACTACGGCTCCCGCCAGATATTTCTTCACAATTTATTCAAGAATCGCGCTCTCGCTTGGGACTTTCTGGCAATGTACCACCTAATCGCGGCTCCCGCCTGATACTTCCTGACAATGTATTGCAGAATCGCGTTCTCGCTTTGGACTTTCTCACAAC